ACAATATGGATACACCTCAGACACGACGGTCATTCTATTACTCATTCAAAATTTCAAGTCAGATACAGTATGGATACACCCCAGACACGGCGGTCATTCTATTACTCATTCAGAATTTCAAATCGGATACAGTATAGATACACCCCAGACACGGCGGTCATTCTACTACTCATTCAGACTACAACAATCAGATACAGGCTAGATATACCCCATACACGGCGGTCATTCTACTACTCATTCTGACTACAGCAATCGGATATAGACTAGATACGCTCTAGACACGGCAACCACTTTATCTCTCATTCAGATTCATTTATCAACCTCAAGTCCAGATACACTCCAAACACGGATGCCATTCTGGCCCTTACACCAGCAGTTTAATTCTCCCCAGTGCAGTCGCCACGAAAGCCATTTTGTCACTTATTCAGATCCCAGTTACAGTACAGATACACCCCAGACACGGCAGTCATTCTACTACTCATACAGATCTCAACTCTAAGGTACAATCCAGATATGCTCCAGACACGGTTGCCATTCTGTCACTCATTCAGACTACAGTAATCGGATACAGGCTAGATATACCCCAGACACGGTGGTCATTCTACTACTCATTCTGACTACAGCAATTAGATACAGACTAGATACGCTCTATACACGGCAGTCATTCTGATATTCATTCTACATTCAAACACGGTTACAGCTCAGATACGCCCCAGATGCGGAGGCCATTCTTTTGCTCATACAAATTCAGTCTCCAGATACAGTTCGAATGCATTCCAGACACGGATACCATTTTAATACTCATTCTTTTGACTTACAACATTGCAAGTTGACAAAGATTCTTGGATGGCATCTTTAAGCCCATATCCAGCAAGATTCTACCATCTCTAAATGACATCTTTAAGCCCATTCCCTCAACTATGCTTTGGACGAGTGCAAATTTACGGGCACTCTAGTGTCCAATCCTCTTTTACCTTTGAGTCGCGAAAGGCAAACTTGCCAATCTAACTCTTTAGGTTCAAGAAGATCGAACAAGGGAAGCTGTTGTACCCCAAAATTTGCCCTCTCATTCTTCAGGAAATTATCCTGGATTCCCAGAGTCTCTCTGAAGCAAATCCAAGTCCTGAATTATCATTTCTTCCCAAGCAAACCATTTACAAGAGCAAAGTGATCACACGAGCTCTAAAGGCAACGCTTTACCTTGAAAAATTAAATTCTAAACATTTGAAATTTTTCTCTAAAAATGGGTGTTTAAGAAGAAAATAGTACTTCGGAACTTCTGGACCAACCTCTAGATAGAAACGGTCAGAAGTTGCAAGCTTGGCTCAACGCAAACAAAACATGGCTCTTTCAGCAGTTACGCAAGTTCAACCAGAGTCTGCTAGAGGAATGCAAAGGGAGCAAAGAATTCTGAAGGCTCCTTCAGAACATGCTGGAATCAGAATGAAAAGGTCAGAAGAGTGGGTGTTACACTGACATAGAATCTCTAAGTCCAGGATTTCCAGAAGAAAATCCAAGGAACGTGTTAGAAAGTCAGGAGAATCCCCAGAATTTGCTGAGACAGCAAGAGGCCAAGATCAGAGCTTGGTTCACGTTGTTTTTGGTAAAACAGAACTGCTGGTTCAGGTTTTCTCCTATTACAAGAATTTTGGTGTTGATAAGTCTCATCACCATTTAATGCTCATTAATGCTCCCAACCACTCCTGAACATTCATCCAAGAGGTCTCTTCACGTGTGGCTTGGTAAACACCTTTCTGCAGGCTTGGGCATGGGTCTACGCGCTACCTTCCACCTATAGAGGTCACTTCTCCTCAATCCTTTCCTGATGTTCTAGCCTAGGCTGAAAAGCTGTGCATTATCACAACTTTCCATGAATTTCTTTCAAAAAAAAACAATTTAACCTCTATTGGCGCCTTTAACGTTCAAGAATCCACAAGAGCTTTGCCTATAAATAGAGCACCATTGACCACTAAGAAGAGGCACAGAAAAAACCAGAAAAATTGCTAGAAGAGAAACAAAAATTTTTAGCAAGAAAATACTTTGAAACTCTGTCAAAAAATCTTGGTGTCTCAAGAGCCTCAAACATAACTTTGAATCTCCTATCTCAAAACCTCATTTGTACCCAGATTGCTTCTTAATTAAAGAAATACGCCCCTACAGCTTCTGACCACATATATTCTCCATCCACCCCTTCAAAAAAGAACCTGTCCAGAACCCCATCAGAGCTAAAAGCTAGCTCTCACTCACAAACTTTTCCAACAGCCAGGTAAGCTCCTGCTGACCTTTATCACGCTGCTAAACACCATCATCTTTGCATGCTCAAATAAACATAATGTAAATATCATGTTGCTGCTGTTTGCGTTATGAGGATTTTCATACCTCAGAATGTTTGAGTAGGAAGTAAATCAGCGTAGAACCTGCCTGTGACCTTGTTGGTTCTGTCTCCTAAAAACACTTTGACAGTTGCTGAAGCTGTCCCAAACATGTTTTCTGTTTTGTGGAATAATAACAAAACTGCAGATGTTGTGATTAGCACAGGAAGAAGCCAAGTGCTGACTTTGACGTTAGCACATCTGAAGCCTTTTCTGCTGTTAATAATATCAGAACTTCTGAATATTATTGTATCTCCAGCAGGATCAGAACTTCTGATATCCCCACTAACAAATTTTTGTCTTGCAGCGCATGGGGGTCAGAACATCTGATCTTCCCACTAACAGGTTTCTGTTTTACAGGTGCCAGAGTAAGAAGTTCTGACTCATACAGTTTAACCAAGAGGTTGATAATCTGGCAGTAGGCCTGAGTCAGAACTTCTGATGGCCTCTCAGCGGCGCGCTGGCTCTCTCTCCCTCTCTTTCTCTCTATCTTGCCTTTGTTATTTTCTTTTCTTATCTATTTTTCTCATTGAAACACCCATGTACAAATATGTATCCCCACCCCCTAATTGCTGTAATAGCATAGGATTTTATATTTCTGCTTTTTATTGCTTTCAAATATAAATGCTAGTAATTAGGATGTGTATGGCAAGATAAAATCAATGAAATAGAAAATCCTAATTCAAAGATAAACTCTTGTATGCAATAAAACACACTTGCACACTTACACCCCTAGGGTTACATCCACTTGTTGCCTTCAAAAATGGGCCATGTTTGCATGTCAAGTATTTTGGCAAAACAAAACAAAAACAAACAAAATAATCATAGTCCCTCGATGACGCTATCTTGTTTCCTAAACAAAATGATCATAGTCCCTCAAGAAAGTTGCCAAAATACTTGACACTATTGCTTTTCTGGTCTATACGATGACCCACGCATGTCCCGTTTACATCCTAACGCAAGGTTGTTCACCAAACAATGGTGAAACAACACTGTTAAAAGGGTTAAAAACATAAGGAAAGATCTTTGAGTAAGAATAGGGTAGACGACTCTTAGTTACTTGATCAAAAATCTTGCAAAACATCCTTGGCATTTTTCAAAACACACATCACAACACAATTTCAAAACAACTTTCAAAAATATTGAAAAAATTTCAAAAGACAATACACCTTTGTATACATTCAAACAAGAATCATTATAAAGGTTGCCACAAATGGCCTCTTTTCAAAATATCTTTCAAAACCACACACACAAAGCACCATTTCAAACAATTGAAAATGCAAAGCAAGTGATCTAAGCAAGTAACTAAGAGCCCATGGATAACCATGGATAGAAAGGGTGCTAATACCTTCCCTTTCTATAATCTACTCCCCGAACCCAAGAAAACATCTCAAAGGTTTTTCCTGTGCTTTTTAACCTTTCCTTAGGATAAAATAAAAAGTCGGTGGCGACTCTTACTAAACCGAAACATTTGCGAACACAAAACGCAAAATCCCAAGTCAGATTTTATGGGTTATATCAAAGCTACCTTACCACTTAACCGTGTTTATTTTTCTGTTATATTTATATTTTAATTAAAATAAAAAGATTTTGAAATAAAAGGGGATAAAATGCAGAATAGTGGTAAAATTTCTCCAATGGGTCTTGAATCCAGGACCTCAAGCATACCAGACTAACACGCTAATCATTATACCATACTATCTATTCGTGATATTTAACTAATCAAAAATTATAAAATCAAAACTTGTGAAATGGGTTGGGCTAGGCCCAAACCCTGATCCATCTAAAGAGGGAATATAGAGTGTTTTTTTTAAACCCTAATTGGAGATGATGAGGCACCGTAAATCCTTGAGAAGGGGTCAAATATTAATCATTTTTATTTTCTCAATTAAATGTTAATTAAAACATAGTATTTGAAAAAAAACATAGTATATCACAATTCCTCACTCTCCCTGTTGCTAATTCACGCCTCTCTCAACTCTAAGTGTGTGTGTGTGTGTGTGTGTGTGTGTGTGTGTGTGTGTGTGTGTCTCTGTGTGTGTGTGTGTGTGTGTGTGTGTGTGTGTGTTTCTTTCTATTCCCATATTCCCCGGGAAAAAACATGTACTCCCTCTGCTTATAGCTTTCCATGGGAACCTACTCCCTTTATTTTTTAGCCTCTTTCACGCTCATCATCATCTTCAACATCATCATCAATTCACTCGATTTCCTCTATACTCTCATATTGTCTCACTATCTCTATCAAAGTCAACAAGTAAGAAAACAAAAGGCATCAAGACATCTCATAAAAAGTGGCGGTTTAAATACCTTCTTACTCGATGGTGGCGGTGACGCGATGGGAAGAGGAACTCGTCACGGTTTTTCCTGGGAAGTGATCGTGGTTGGATGGAGAGGTGATGAGTTTGTTGGAAGATCAGAGAAGATTTATAGTTTGTTGAAGGTGGCGAGTTGAGATCCGGTTTTGATGTTGAATGAATGTCGAAATTAGTGGTGGTTCTGTGGAGGTTATATGGTGGCTTAACGGTTGTTGGTGTCTGAAAAAAGGGAGGAATCTTATAGGAAGCTTATGGAAACTTTGGTGAGTGTTATTGGTGTCTTGAAATTTCTTTATTTTTCTCTTCCCCTTCAATGGTGAAGAAAACGATGAGAAAATCAGGAAGGGTCCAGGTATGCGTTCTTCATCTCTTTTCTCTTTTCTGTGTGATTTGTTGCCAGTGATGTTCTTTGTGACTGAGTTTTTGTGTTGTTTTGTTGCAAAAATAATGAAGATGTGTTATTGTGGTTTAGCGATGGTGTGGTTACCAAGAGTATACAAGTTATTTTTCATGCTTTCTCATGGTTTGGACAAGATGGAGAAAAGGTGAAATCAGTTACGTTTTTTTTACAGATGTTGTGAAGTTTAACAGAGGTAAGTTTATGTTGTAAGTTTTTTTTCACTGATATTTCTGTATGTGAACTCCTTTAATATCCGTGGACCTCTCCCCCCTTTCTCTATGACTAAGCCCTTGTACTTATAGGTGAGAGAGATGAAATTGGAACCAAAAGTGTGGGAGATTTTGAGGGGGGAAATGGGTTGGATTTGAATTCTTTGTGATGCCTTGTTTTAACACTTTTTACTGCAGATTTTGTATTGTAATTTAAACTGCTTTTGGACAGGTTTTAGAGTGTTGTGGGTAGTAGTAGCAGTTGGCTTTATGACAGCAGGACCACATCAGGTTTTGGAGGTTTATGAAGCAGGCTTAGGACAGGTTTATGCAGATTGTAGCAAGGATAAGGCATGTTTATGGACAACATAGTGATAGCAGAATTTTATAGGTTATGGGCATGGTATTTTGGACAAGGAAAGGTCACAATTTGACCTTTTTTGCATTTATGCAAGGCTGTTTGCAGGTTTCTAGCAACAAGGTGCAGAGGCAGCATCTAGACTTTGGAGAAACAAAGTGCAGGTTTTTGGAGTGTTTTGCTTGGAGCTCTGTGGGTTTTTGTTTGGTTATGAAAAATGATGATGGTGATGTATGCAAGCTAGAAAATGACAAGACTTGGTTTTCTCATGAAGATGGTCACAGAGTGCTTTTATGGAAAGTATTATCTAGCATAAGTTTATGACTTGCAATAATCTCATGTAACTTTAAACATACCTTGAATTTGAAACTCAAACAAGTCTTGTAAGATGATGAATTTACTCAAAGTTTAGATTTGAAATTTATGTAACAAACTCTCTTGATGAACTTAAGATGTGAGGAACTTGAATTGAATCTTGTATTGGAATAAAGCTTAGAAATTTTAATGAAGATGAATGAAGTTGATGAATGTCTTGCCTTGAATTTGAAATAGTTCACATGAATGAATTTTTTTCCAAATATATCAAACTTGCGCCATAAGCATATTATTCCTTTTGAATATCTTGAACCAAAGACAAAATCATATGAATGGATTATGCCTTACATGCTTGAATTGAGTTGAAGTAAAAATAATTATTTGAATGGATATTTGAATCTTCTTCAATAAAATCCATATCTTCAATTCATAGTAACTTGAAATACGAGCTAATAGTACAAATCTTACCTTTAAGAACTTTAGTCAAAATCCAACTTCGATCCAATAATCACTAAATCTCAAACAAGAGTGACTTGAATTATAAGAAAATGGCAAATCAAAGAATCTTCGAACTCAAAAATATAGTTTCATGAATGATCGCATCATAAGAATTAACGTATTTGAAGAAAGGATTATGGCATGAATTGAAATTAGAAGTTAGGAACATTCTAAATTGGAAAAAATGACACGTAACGTCTCATTAATTTCCATAGTCTTCTAAGCATAATTCAACTTTGACCTGTGAAGAGAACTTGTGGATGACATCACTTATGACAATATGCAAGAAGAATCTGCTCAAAATATTAAAAATCTTGGAAGTTATGATCTGTGGAAGTTAGGCACAACTATTTTAAGATTAGGTCAAATTCCACATAATTACCTCTAAAGTATTTGAACTTTTGATGATCCTCTGCACATAATCTGAACATGACTAGTAAAGAGGAGTTGGAGGTGACGTCAAGGAGAGTTATACATAAAAAGAACTATTCAAAAATATTGAATAATGAAGAAGTTATGATCGTTTGAACTTGATCTTGTGAAAAGTTTACTTTTGGTTGAAGAGCTTTGAATCAACTTGCAAACTTGATCTTTCCTTGCATTCCAAGGAATATTGACGCACATGTTGACCAGTGATGATGAAATCTCAAGTGTGCTTTTCATATTAGAGATTAAGCTTTGATGATGTAGCCTTTGAGAATTGGTGATCCATCATACTTGAACACTTAAGGGATCAGAAACCCTAATTGAGGCGTAATGCCTGGTGCTTTTGATTCAGACCTGTCGCTGCACATGGAAACCAAAAAACACAAACATACACCTTTGTATGGGATTATAAGTTAGTGATGTGAAAAATAAAATGTTCGCAACAATTGATAACCTCTATATAGCAATGCTCGAAGGTGAGTGGATAAAAAACAAAAATGTATCTCTTGACCTTGATGCTTTATGAAAATGCAAATGAAGGTGGGAGATTAGGTCAAGAATTTTGGTATGACAGTTTCCCCTATTTAAGTTTCTTCTATCCAGAGATACAAAGATTGAAATCTTTGTTTCTATGAGATTGAAGATACTTAAATATAAAATACACAATTTTTGGTCTTTAGATACCATAATGATGTTTATGATATGATATGAATGCAATGTTTTAAATTTTATGGAGAATGACACCACATGAGATAAACTTTTGTTGGGGAAACCAAGCACATGATAAAGTAATCCCACAGGGTAAGAGATTATAAGTCCACTGGGGAATAGAGCCACAAACTTTGAATGAGAGACTCTTATTGGGGAATAACTTATAGAGAAGAAACAGTTACTGACTCTATCATGGAAGACGTATTGCATAGGTTGTGAAAAGATAAATGGCTACTAACTCAAGATGATGGTAAATTTCCAACTCCGTGTCAAAGGTAGAAAGTCAAAGAGATACTGACTCACAGATGACGGTAAACTACCAACTCAACAGTTAAAGGTGGAAATGTAAGAGATACTGACTCAAAGATGACGGTAAACTACCAACTCAATAGATGAAGGTATAAAATTAAGAGATACCGACTCACAGATGATGGTAAGCTACCAACTCAATAGATGAAGGTAGAAAAGTAAGAGATAATGACTCATAGATGACGGTAAACTACCAACTCAATAAATAAAGGTAGAAAAGATAAAGATATTGACTCAAAGATGATGGTAAACTACCAAATCAATAGTTGAAGGTAGGAAAATAAGAGATACCGACTCGCAGATGACGGTAAATTACCAACTCAATGGTCGAAGGTAGGATCGAAAAAGATACCGACTCATAGGTGACGGCAAACTATTAACTCAATAGTTGAAGGTAGGATAGTAAGAGATACCAACTCACAGATGACAGTAAACTACCAACTCAATAGTTGAAGGTAGAAAAGTAAGAGATATTGACTCGCAGATGAAGGTAAACTACCCACTTAATAGATGAAGGTAGAAAATTAAGAGATACCGACTCACAGATGACGGTAAGCTACCAACTCAATAGATGAAGGTAAAAAAGTAAGAGATATCGACTCACTGATGACGGTAAACTATCAACTCAATAGATGAAGGTAGAAAATATAGTAAACCTTTCTAAGACAAATGGGTTCTGATTTTATTTTTTAACAATTTTTCCACTTGAAAAGGATAACAACCTGATATTTCCAGCATTTCACTTGGCATGAGGTAATAAAGTTCTCGAAATTTTAGATTTCACCGGGAACGGTAACAATTTCTTCTTTGATCAAGATATTACTTGAAAAAGGTAAAAAACTTATCTAACTTCTAGATTTCACCGAGAATGGAAAATAGTTTCTTCTTTGACCAAGATATCACTCGGAAAGGATAATAAAATTCACCTGACTTCTGGATTTCACCAAGAACGGTAACAATTTCTTCTTTAATCAAGATATCACTTGAAAAAGGTAACAAACTTCTCTAACTTCTGGATTTCATCTAGAATGGAGAATAATTTCTTCTTTGACCAAGATATCACTCGGAAAGGATAATAAACTTCACCCGACTTCTAGATTTCACCAAGAACTGTAACAATTTCTTCTTTAATCAAGATATCACTTTAAAAAGGTAACAAACTTCTCTAACTTCTTGATATCACATAGAAAGGAGAATAGTTTCTTCTTTGACCAAGATATCACTCGCAAAGGATAATAAACTTCACCTGACTTCTAGATTTCGCCAAGAACGGTAATAATATCTTCTTTAATCAAGATACCACTTGAAAAAGACAATATACAAACTTCTTCGCGACACTTTTCTTGAGAGATACCATTTGTTGTTTATGAGGAAACTTCCCAAAAGATATACCATTTGCTGTTGATGAGCAAAATTCCCAAAAGAGATACCATTTGTTGAATAAACCTCCCCAAGAACCTGGTCATAAGCCACGAACTGGTCTTAGTTTCTCCTTAATCAAGTCTTCCACCTGATAAGGATAATATACAAACTTCCTCGTGGGACTTTTCTGAAGATATGTCGTTTGCTAAGTAAACCTCCCTAAGAACCTGGTCATAAGCCAGGAATTGGTCTCAGTTTCTTCTTAATCAAGTCTTGCACCTGATAAGGATGATATATAAGCTTCTCCACGGGACATTTCTGAAGAGATGTCGTTTGCTGAAAAATCAGAGTTTATATGTTGGAGATAGAAAAACTGCTCATGAAGAGATCACCATTTTCCAAAAAGTAAAAGTATGTTGGAAATACACAAGTTTCTCAAATAAAGAGGCCTCTACTTTCTACCTAGGCAAAAGATTTCAATATAGTGTTATAAAGACACTGTTGGGAATGGGAATCAATAACTTCATCGGGGATAAACAAACTGCTCATGAAGAGACAACCATATGCCATAAAAGAGGAGATCCATAAGTAATCAAGCCGCTCAAATAAAGAGTCTGTCACTTGTTATCATGTCGATATTCCAAAAGAGTGTTGCAATAACACTACTGGGGGAAAAGTTCATCTTCAATGGGGAACCATGAATAGAATATTCCTGAGGAGACAAACTTATTTAGAGGTGCAAAATAAATTCATTCTCGATCTAGGTTTCACATCCTAGAGAAATCCACGAGGTAATATCTGTAGGGGATGAAGCTCAATCCAAGAACAAAAAAGGAGAGAAATAGTCAAACAAGACTCTACCAGATGAGGAGTAAATTCAACTTGGATTTATCCTATCTTGAGATGAAAGGAAGGCTAAAACAAAAACCCTTCCACGAGGAATAAACTCAATGGGAAATTAGAAAGGATGTACACTTTCTTCTTAAGTTGACACTCTGTTGGAAAGAAGAAATACTCTACTTGGGGATAAACACCACCAAAGGTGGTGAACCCAAAAACATAGAGAAATATGAATGTGCATGAATGATGTAAGTGTGAATGAACAAATGAATGTCATGTATATGCTGGCAAAATAGACCAAATAGATCAACTGGGGGTGATAAGATATCACATTACAAACAGATACTCAGCTAATCTCAACAAGACGAGAACATTATTGGAGATAGAACTAAAGCCACCTACGAAGCATATTTCTGCTCTAAGGCTCTAATCTCCGGAGTGTAAGATACTCAAATTCCAATCAATAATCCAATGAAAGAGTAACAACGGTTCACCTGGAGAAAATCTTGCTTAGCTGGAAATACTGGGGAACACCACCATCTGATAATGTGTGCAAAGTAGATCACATATCTTGATAAATCTGAATTGCCCCTGGAACTAAATTTTGCATGCCCCAAGTTTACTGCTGATAAAATGCATGATGCGCGACAACTCTTGCGAATAACTTCACTTCTTAAATGCCCAAAGTTACATGGTTTACGAGAAGAAATCATATCAAGAGGATTTTATAAAAGACCTGACATCCAAAATGCTCTAGTGTCTTCAAACTCTTGGAGAGATTTGTTGGATCTTGACGTGACTGCCCCATATTAATTGTATTTGGCGAGATAGAGTCTTCAAAAATGCCCCATGAGGGTAAGTAA